TAAACTGGAATGGCCCATTGCAATGGTGCATATATTATATATGAATCCGGTTTCGCATGCTATTGGTGTCTACTACGCCATCAATTGCGCCGATTTGTTTATTTTTGATCGCCGTTAATCGTGTTATAATCATCAGAACAATCATAAATATCCAAGGTATATTATAGCTGGATTTCAACCCGAACGGCAAATTGCAAACAGAACACCACATGCAAGAGCACCCCCGCAAATTGTTTGCTCTATTGTCAGCGAAATTTGCCGTTGATCGTTTATCATACAAACTGCATCATGGGAGTCATTCCAGGTCAGCTTGATGTCAATCAACATATTTACATTTATCTCAACTTGTACAAGACCAAGTGAATTGGTTCGAATGTTGGCATTCTTGTTTATTAGGATACGGATCGATTGTTCAACAATTGCATATACATCATATTCCGAATTTAACTTGCAAGAAAACGCTTATGTAGGTAGGTATGTGGTAATATAAAAGTAATGAGAGTATAGCACAGGAATGGGGATTGCAATTAGTGGTATTAAAAGTATAGGTGACCTAACCATTTTGTTTTTGTGTGGCAAACACTGGTAGACGTCTGAGAGGGGCTACTAATGAGTCACGGTGGTATACGACTTAGATGGGGTACTAATGAGTGGCAGACGAGCTAGAGGGGCTACTAATGAGTACTATGTCATGATATATTTCTAGGTGTTCAAAGATCGGTCACTGATTACGACTTCATGATTGGTTTTGGTGAAAGAACAGGCGAGATCATTTACGCTCACTAATGCTCTGTTATCATTTGGGCTTATGTTCAAAGTACCGAACGGAAATAGGATCAGTGAATGGAACTAATTACGATATAGACTTTGCTAACAGATCGTTAAATCTGACAGTTTGGTTAGTGTAGTTTATTAATATAGCGGACGATTAATAAATAGATATGACGTGTTATGTGTTCTGTACATGCGAGTTGGATGTTTGGAGGCTACGCCTTAAGCTTTTAAACTCCCCTGTAATAGGTTTAGGTTTTGAAAGTGAATAAAGCGCATCTTAGTCAGTCAGCGTCGAGCTCTCGACGAGGCAGGCAGTCTTAGAGAGAGTCTTTGCGGAGTTACCGGCGAGGCAAGCCAGCCATCCAGATAGACGGCTTAGATGGGCCACTGATTAGTGATAGACGACTTGGGGGGCTATTAATGAGTGGTAGACGAATTAGAGGGGCTACTAATGCCGCATTATCTGACATTTTTGCTGATGCTGGTATATATACTACTCACCAATATGTGCCTTGTACTCCTCGTATGTCGGCACATCGCCACCAACATTACTTGGCATACATTGGTAGTTTCTTGGCATCCCTTGAATTACACATTCTTGTATAACGGGCGTTGATACCTCATGGTTGTTAGGAAAACACCATGAACAGGGTGAACAATCATCTGTTAGGATATTTTTGAAATAAGCTGCAATAATTTGTAATTAAGCGTAATTAGTGAATTGTTGGAATGGAATTCATTATTTTTTGTAAAGGAAGTTGTTTTTCATTTTTCATACATAATGTTTGATATAAATACTACTTATTTCATTTCTTGGGTCTTCATGTTTGAAGTATAGCGTAGGGTCTAATCATATCGCGTATAAACACCATGTATTGTTTTTTGCTGAGTTTGAGACTGCAAATTGTTTAATCGTTCTTTTTTATCACAATCAAACGGGCAAAGCACGCTTATACTAAACCAACACCCCAGGTCCGAAAACATACAAGTTCCTGTTTAAGTTTGGGATAAGACGGTATTTAATATAATAATAATAGTGTAAAAAAGTTGCTTAGCTTAACGTCGATCTCCAGGCTAGGCCATTCACTCACGTTGCAACTAGGGTGATTGATAGATAGTGACAATTACAGATACTGATAGTGGAATATCTTAATTATATTTAACAGTTTGTTTAAAAGGTACATAGTTGCTAGCCTTACCGTGATCGCATTCTCTTGCGCATTTCACATTCTGTGTTCTGGTGCAGTTTCTCGTGGTAGCCAGGTGAGAAGGACAGGTCTTGCACGGTTTGCACGGCGATGTTAGGCTGGTTCCCGCTGAATATGTCCCTTCTGCGCAAATCTCGCATTGAGTGTCCTGTTCACCTCGACACTCTGTCACTACACCAAACCCAGCCGGACACTTTGTACATGGTACACATTTGACATCGCCGTTAATCAGTGTTACCTTGTACGTGAAAACATGTCGGTCACATTCCTGAACAACAGATTCTAGCTGAAAAGATAAAAAAAAGACTTATCGCTACGATATTTGGTAAACATGGAACGTCTTGGACAAAATACTGCATACAGCCGAATAATAACTGTCACTACGGAGAAGAGTGAGTTTGCATGAACTAATTTATTCGAATTAGGAATAGTGTGAACTCTATCACGGTGTATTATTTCTTTTGCAACAATCTGAAAATGTTATCTAATTGGAAAATTTTAAATATATGGTTGTAATGTTTTGCGAAATAAATTGCAATATTAACTTCTTTCGTAGGTAGTTATATATTCCGTTTGATAGACTTTGCGACTTTGAATCTATTGGGACATTGCAATAATTATATTATGGAATTTCTATTCAACAAAATAATACTTACTGTGCGTCTATTTGATAATTATAAATGATTCTCTTGAATTTTGAATTGTTGAATAAACCTGTGAAACATTAATCAGAGACTTGCAACTCTGCTATAGATTAACTTTGTTTTACCACCACTTACCACACAGGCGAACAACGCAGTGCCATTTTATATTACGAAATCGCTACCAACTTATCAAATATTTACTTGCAAAGTGGCCCGATGCCACAACAGTTACGTTAAACGCGTTGCTAAGTGAACAACAAATGCAAATTGATCATGAGAGGGCGATACAACTATTCTGAAAGTGTTTTCGAGAGCATGGCAGTGAAAAAAATGCTTCGTGTTCAATCACTCGCACATAGTCTATGTTGAATAACCTTTATTGGCACAAGTCAATGTATAGTATGAAACGCGTTGAAATATGACCCTACAGAACGATAACATTTCAATACAATATTTAGTTTCTTTCTTACGGGGAGGCCACAGAACGATTCAGATGTTCTAACTATCATGAGTACCATAAACGAATAATTAAGGAAATATAAACACTGTTATATCACCATAGTATTGACATAGTATTTTAAATTTACTTCACTGCTAGTTTTTTTTAGCTCACGCACGTACTGGTATTTAGTCGATTAAAAAAGATGAACATACTACTCGGTTGGGGGAGGGGATTAGAACTAAAGAACGACGTCTTGTTCAATAGTGCGTGTTATAAATCACCAGAAGCAGAATTAATGGTTTGTATGACGTCATAGTTTCATATTATCACCCGACAATGTAAACCTCTAGTCGCAAGCTGTTACAGTTTAAGACCTGCTTAATGTTATTGAAATGGGGTACCCACAGAAATCACACTGGACAGGGGGTTCTTTTAAGGTAGACAATAATACTGGAAATCTAATACACATACACCAAAATATCAAGTTAAAGCTTCAGGCTTTAACACCTTTCAAATTAATTACAAGAAACAAAGCACTAAATAAAATTCACTAAAATAGGGAATTGCTTAGGGAAGTGTGCATTGGTGATAACTCACAGTTCCAGGATCTGGAAATTGATGACAGTCAATGGCTTCTGCAAAACAAAAATGAAGAGAGGTCTTGCTTGCAGAGGAACGTTGGTATTCTGGAGGGCACCGCTGTTAGCATGAGATCGCAGAGCAGTTCATACAAGTCTCACAGAATGATGATTAAAGCCTGTATCACTTGTCTCACAATATCGCAACACACAGTTGCAATAGTGTATCACAACTATCCCCAGTCTAGCCTATTCATAGGCATAAATAACCCAGATTCAGGGACATCACCTGGGTTTCCACATGAGCCAATCAGAATGTGTTCATGCTAGCAGTTGTCTCACGAAGGCAAGTCAGTAGACCGTAAACATTCTTTGTTATTTAAATCACACGCACACCTGGTAGATTCCAATTTGGAATAATTTTATTTTTAGGTTTTGAGGTAATATGACAAAAACATAGAATAGAGAATGTTGACACAAGTGAACCAAATCCCCCAAATTTAACTCAATGTGATCGATTGTGATAATCAGGGGGTTGGGGAGTTGCATGACTCGATTGGTTGAAATAATCGTCTCATTCGCATAAATTAATATTCATGAGAAATGAAAAACTCTACTTTTCAGTAAAATTGTGCCAAAATGCTTTCCGATAGCATACATGTTAGTTCCAAATTGACTGATTCTATCGTTAAAAGCTGAAAAAATAATCGGAAAAATGATGTATAAAGGTATTTTTTGAGACACGTTTTCGATCAGACTCCAGCTAACTGTTGAAAGTAAGCACAGGTTTTCTCTTTGCCATGATCATAGCAAGTTACGAAATTCATGGAGAATGCAGAAGCACGTTTATATTTCACTCTAGTACTATTGCTCAAAATGTTTTTGGTGACATTTATCAGTGACAAGTTACCTAATTAGTATGCATTTCGAAAAACCACAGTGTGTGTGCATGCGCAGTTTGAAATGGAACAGATTTGAACACAATAAAATCACGCGTAGAACTCGGGCTCCAGCAAAAAATTGTGGCGTCAAACTGGTTGTCGGTTGATTTTTTTTTGCTATAGACATAATTTTGGAGCCTGTATTTGTCTATGAAATGTTTCTAAGTTTTGTTGAGGATTATTCTGAAGTTTTTTCATCTGTTCGTAACCGGGATGTTGTTACGTTGACGATGGGCTACGGACGCCTGACGTCAAAACGTTCCATTCAGATTGGATGGCGCCCTCTCGTGCCAATCCCCCCTGGTGATAATAACATAATGCACAATCAACACGTCCACCTAGAACGGTCTACACGAGTTCGGCTTCACCTCCCACATCATCTTTCCATAGACGCTTTGCAGACCAACGAGTACAAACTGGGACGTTACTAAACTTTAACTAGGTAATTTCTTTGATGATTGGAAGGTATCGAATAAGTCACCGGCGGAAATTAGAGAGAGATAATGTATAGCTAAGACGTGATGATAACCTCTAATTCTGCTTGTGGTGATTGATGGAAAGTGTGGGGTTTTTATTTCAATAATAATGCCCCGAAATTTCGAAAATACTAATAGACGTGCAGTTGTAGCTTGAAATTAAGGAAAATGTGGCAAGTGCATTTTAGGCGCCTGTATTTTAGTCAGTTACGCATAGACGGTTCTCCAGCAGAAGACATGAAAACACGCTTATATATGTTTACTGTAAAGAATGATCAGGATTTCTTAATGTGAGAGCATCATAGATAGACTGCTGTTTAAACGAATCGTCCAAAATTGGGGAAAACATTGCTCATGGCTGACGTAAACAGATTCTTGTATGCATATTCGTGCATTGATATAATCGTATGAAAACAGGGCTGCACGTACCAATCAACCAATGAGAATGTGTCGTTTCAATAATGAACCGCGCAAGATATTTTTTACTTGCAATTCTGTTGATTCGATGCAGTTTGAATACACAAAGTTCACACATTCATATTCATGTCATCACTGTATAATTATGCGTTACAGCCGAATTATATGGTAGTTTAAGCCGAATTAAAATTTCACTGCGCAATACGAAGGGAACTTGTTGTTATAAGTAGCTGTATTTAATAACAAGGTTTAATTTTACTGGAAAAAGACTGAATTATGCTGCCAATGCTTCATTAATTTCAGGATTCATATACGATATTGTAATTTCATAAACAAATCTCACAGCCTGTAGAAACCAATATAAAAATGTCAATTTTGATTATTTTCAATAATTTCAAAATAATGAAAGCATCACATATGACCTTTAATTTGGCTCTAACATCCCTAAATAAAATATAGCATTTTAGATCGTTTGAAACAATAAATTATGTGTTGGTTCACTGTGTTTGTAAGTGATGAGAGGGGGGGGGCTAATACTGGAAGATCGCGACTCTGCAATTTAAAGGCAGTTTTGAAACCGGTAGCGAAAGCGAAAGTGACATACATGTAACATAAAACAATGAATGCTTCAGTCTCAAATACCCAGCAGACATGACATAATAAATAAAGTAGTCTGTCTGTCTATATCTTTGTCTCCAATCGTCCACCCTTCTGCTCTGTCAACAATAACTGTTGGTAAACAATCACCTTACCGTATAAACTTGAACCAGGTAAAACACAATACCAATGAATCTGATGTAGTATGCAGTTGTAAACAATGCGTAGATAATCCGAAAAGCCATAATGAATATGATGTTAATATATAAAACTCTAAATTTGAAAGCAAAAATATCACTGAAACGGAAAATAGATATGTTAATGATAATATTATTATGAGGTGTACTATTATAAACTCTAGGGGAGAACTAGTAGCAATAGAAGTGCTCAAATTATTTCTCATTTCCTCAGCGTTGAGTGGGATATTACTACAGGATGATAACGCTTTGAATTCTTTTTTTGTGAATAGATGTTCAATCTTTCAATTTACCATCTATCTGTTTATATTACAGTCCACCCTTTACACTCATTTAACTGCCAGTATCCGATATTAGTTTACGGCATTCACTAAATTCTGCGTATTGCTACTTGGGTCTAAGAAAAAACATTGTATATGTAGGTCAGAGGTCACCATAGGGTCCGACTGGTGCAGTAATCGAAACGACATAGGTACTATGGGTTACACAAACAAGACACGATTACAGTGTAGTGTATATCACAATACTATAAATTAGTTCGCAAAAAAACTGTACGCAACTGGATGTATGTATTTAGAAAGTAAACAAGAAAAGCCGGAAGTCCGGCGTGTTACTCGATTCTGCTTCAGTTGGTGTCGATCCAAACATTGCACTGCTAGCATCGTAAAAAGGTTGTAAATCGGAGACGGCAGCACGAAATTTTGCATGGGGGGGGGGGGTCTGCAGCTGCTCACCAGCCTTGCGCCAAAGTCG